CTGAAGGGGACCTTCTCACAAACACATGTCCTGGCCAAGAAAGGCACGTTAGTGGTTTACCACGGTGGTGGGTCATCCAGAGTGGCTGGGACTGGACGGGGAAAGCCAGTGTATCTGATGGAAGCTGGCAGTCCAAACCACAAGTAATGCAGACATGCTAATTTGTTGAGGCCTGCCCATGATCTGCTATGTCTGGCTGGTTTCTGGAAAACTAATTTTCTCAAAGCCAGTTCACCAAATGGCCAATTTGCTGAATGGCCAATTTACCACAAATTGACAATAGCTTGTTGCACCTGGGGTTCGCCATCAGAGGCAGGAGTTGGGAAAGCACATAATTAAAAATCACTTAAAGGAAGGCTCCCCATTGTAGACATTAGTTGTGCATTCCAAAGGAGCTCAGCATCAGTTCGTGGCCTCCACACTGTGCCAACACTACAGTGCACTCTGCCAGTCTAACTGGTCAACCATGAGACTGCTGGAGTCGAGTGAAAACATTAGAGAGAAAATACTCAGCAAATTGGTTGCTCTGAGGATTGGCCATTTTTTTGTAAATGAGTCATTTGGGGAACTGCCTGCCTCATCAAGGCTGCACACGAAGAGGGTCCCAGCCCTCACTGGCATTGAGGAGCTGAAGGAGGGGTTGCCAGGGGCACACCAGGAAGCCCACAGAAGGGGAAAACACATTCCATTGCTGCTTCGTCTAGCCAGAGGCCAAGCAGACAGGAGGCAGCTCTCAGGTAGCCATGGCAGATCCACAACACAGCCCTCTCAGTGGGAATATGAAGTGCATTTAATTCCCGGTTGTGCTATATTGTATATGCATCTCAAAGGAGAAAGCTGGACATGGTGGTTTCTGCCTGTCATCCCAGCACGTGGAAGGCTGAGGTAAGAGGATTGCTGAGTTTGAGGCCAGCTTGAGATACAGAGTGAGACCTTCACTCTCAAACAAATAAGATGGTGGGAATAAGTGACTTCTAGAGTTGCAAGGAGAACCTGCAGTCTCCAAGCTCATGGTTTAACTGTGTGTGTGTGTGTGTGTGTGTGTGTGTGTGTGTGTGTGTGTGTTTAAAGGGAAACTCTTGTGGCACCTGTTCCCTCAAGGCCCCAGTTGTCCCTGACAGGAGTCTGGATGGTCAGGAACAATGCTAGGACTGGAGGAGCCAGAGCTTGTGTGCTAAACCTGTGTGTTAGCTTTGCTCAAATGTTCCTAAGACTAGCAAACCTGAGTTCTGTCAATAGCTCTCCTCTGGTCCCTTGGTCCTGCCATGCCAACCAGACTAGGAATCAGGGGCCTCTTAGAGCCCTTGGGAGTCAGAAAAAAGGGGAGGAGAATGGGAAGACCAGGCCAGGACTCTGTGATCTGCCCACAGACCTTCCGACAGTGTGCCGCCCCCTGAGCGTTCCCCTTGCCGTGGCCGGGTCTGCATCTCTGGTAAGAAATACACGGCTCCTGGCTCCCCTCACCCCACCACACCACCTCCTGCCTGCCTCTAACCCCTCTTCCTTCCTGCTCTGCCCTTTAGACCTGCGGATCCCCCTCATGTGGAAGGACACAGAGTATTTCAAGAACAAAGGAGGTGAGTGCCACACACTAGGACAAACTGAGGGGAGTGTCCAGAGAGGTGGGGACTCTTGTTGACAACCTTAATGTTTTTGTTTCTCTTTATTCCCAGACATGCACCGATGGGCTGTGTTCCTGCTGCTACAGCTGGGGGAACAGATTCAGGACACAGAGATGATCCTGGTGGACAGGACCCTCACAGACATCTCTTTTCAGAACAATGTCCTCTTGTGAGTGGCTTGCCTATGGCTCCTTCTGTCCTTCCTCCACCCACTCCAGCTCCTGTGGGGCTGCTCTGGGGCGTGGAGGTGGAGAGGGAGAAGGAGAGGCAGATGGCCCAGGTGTCCTGAACTCAAGCCCTCCTTCACCCTATGCCCTCCTGAGCCTCCACTCATGACCCTCCTCTCTCTTGTGCCTGTGTAGTGCTGAGGCAGGGCCAGACTTTGAACTGCGGCTGGAGCTGTATGGGGCCTGTGTGGAAGAGGAGGGAGCCCTGGCTGGCGCCCCCAAGAGGCTTGCCACCAAACTCAGCAGCTCCCTAGGCCGCTCCTCAGGGAAGCGTGTCAGGGCATCGCTGGACGGTGCTGGGGGCTCTGGGAGCAGTCCCATCCTGCTGCCTACTCCAGCTGTGGGGTAAGACCATGTACTACCCACCCAGCGTCTTCAGCTGCCTCCAACTCCCCATCGGTGACCATGTCACACTGAATGAGCAGGCATTCTGACTAACCCTAGAGTTAGGCCTCAGTCAGTCTATACGCCTGACGGTGGGAAGGCATAGAGAGCTTGGCTTTAGGGTCTTACCTGTTTAGCAGCTACAGAAACATCTTATAGGACTGGGGATATACCACAGCTGGTGAAGCGATTGCCTAGCCTTGGGTGGGATGGTGCACACCTGCTTTTCCAGCACTTGGGAGATGAGAGGAAGGCGAATCATAAGTTCAAAGTCATCCTCACTGCATAGTGAGTTTATGACCAGCCTGGTGTACATTAGACCCCGCTTCAAAACACCAAACACAGTGCTTTGTCACTGACAAAGCACTTGCTATGCAAGTGTGGGGACTGGAGTTCTGCCCCCTGGGACCCAATCCCAGGGCTCACTCTAGAGGAGAGGCATGTGAGCTCCTCTAGCTGGCAAGCTGGCTGGTTAGACTAGTCTAATTGGCCAGCTCTGGGTTCAGTGAGAGACCTGGCCTTCATCAGTAATGTACAGAGCTATTGAAGAGGACACCCAATGTCAATGCCTGGCCTCTACACATACATATGTGCCTCCCATACATATGGCCAAACCAAACATACATACAAACATAACTGTGCTCTGAGTTGAGGCATGCTCTGTAGCAGAGCCTACAGTCACCTGAAGTTACTAGGGTTCAGAGGAAGCCGCCTCATCTGTTGACTGACTGAAGAACACCCTCACAGAGCTGCCATGAGAACGTCAATGGGACAATGGATAAGTGTGGGTCCGGGTGCCTCGCAGGAGGTCAGCAAACAGGAGGCAAGCTGGTTGTCTGGGGCAGCTTGGCAACGGGCCTTGCAGCACCTTCCTGCCTCACGCCCCACTCCACCGATGTCCCCTTCTCCCTCCAGAGGCCCTCGGTATCACCTCTTGGCCCACACCACTCTCACCCTATCGGCAGTGCAGGATGGATTCCGCACACATGACCTTACCCTTGCCAGTCATGGTATGTGTGTGAGCGTGCGTTGGGGGCACTGGCCCTGCTGGGAAGGGCTGTGGGGTAGTCCCCCTTCTCCTTTCCCATCCTCATTCTGTACTTCTTCCTCCCCCAGAGGAGAACCCTGCCTGGCTGCCCTTGTATGGTAGCGTGTGTTGCCGGCTGGCCGCTCAGCCTCTCTGCATGACTCAGCCCACTGCAAGTGGTACCCTCAGGGTGCAGGTGAGGGGTCCCAAAGGAGTAGAAGGGGCCATGGAGGAGACAGAGCTGGACTACCTAAGAATAGGATGATGAGATGTGGATCTGGGGGGGTAAGGTGGGATGGGAAGACAGTGGGGTGAGTACTGGGGACATGGGATCGATGGAGGACTGGGAGGAAGGTGCATTGTGGGGAGGCAAGACTCCCTAGAAGACACCAAATCATTTATGCAGCAAGCCGGGGAGCTACAGAACGGGACACTTGTGCACGGAGTCCTGAAAGGCACAAACCTCTTTTGTTACTGGAGATCTGAAGATGCAGACACTGGGCAAGAACCCCTGTTTACTATTGCCATCAACAAGGTGATGAGTCCCATGGTAGTGAGGTCACCTGGCGTTTAGGCTCAGGCACCTCTTTCTCAAGGCCCTGGAGAGTTGGGCTCAGGCCTCAGGGACAGGGAGGGTGAACTTTGTTAAGAGCTCCAAGCTCCGCTCCTCAGCAGGGCTGGGATGCAGAGAGGCCACTTTCCCCCATCTCCCCACCCCTCAAGCAATTCTAAGAAAGTTAGCCTGCTCACTCAGCATCCCCAGCCCTCTCCAAAGCCCAGGGGATTCACTGCTAGCTCAGGCAGTTTTCCCTGTGGTCCTCTCTGCTTCCAGTTTGTAGCTGCTGCTAACTTACCGCTCGTCTCTACATAGGTGCAATTGGGCCCCCCATGCTCCCTAGCCACAGTGTTGCTTTCCTGTGTGTTTGTTTTGCTTTGTTTGGTGCTGGGGTCAAACTGAGAGACTCGTGTTAGCAAAGTGCTCTACACCCCAGACACCCTGTCTGTTTTGGAAGTACTGGGTGGGCAACCCAAAGCTGGACCTTGGTAACTCTTGCCCAGGTACACCTTCCCTGACTTGCTGTCCCTCTCTCCTGCCTCAGACTGGTGCTCCTTCCCAGCATCAGCACAGGGACTTTATCCCCAGCACCCTTTGCTGTCCCCTCACCCCTCCTAGAGTTAGCAGCAGGCAAATGAAGGCTCAGCACAAGTCCCAAAGGTACTTCTAGACAGGGGTGATGGGCTGCTTCTCAGCCGAGGCAGAGGTGAAGGCAGCTCTTCTTTCTCCACAGGAGACTAGGGTCCGGGCAGGGGAGGTGGAGCAGGCCCCAGAGTGGCCTTTTACCCTCAGCATCAGCAACCGGTATGGAGGTGATGAGGTGACGAACATCCTCCGAGTGGAGAGCAGAGAGAGCCTGCAGAACTGGATGGAGGCGCTGTGGCAGCTCTTCTTTGACATGAGTGAGAGAAAGGGCTGGGTGGGCTTGAGGGCGGGGGGGGGCTGCGTGGAAGCAGGGGTGTGGCACCTGGTGTTCTCCTTGCAGGCCAGTGGAAGCATTGCTGTGATGAAGTCATGAAAATCGAAACTCCTGCGCCCCGGAAGCCCCCACAGGCACTGGCCAAGCAGGGGTCCTTATACCATGAGATGGGTAAGTGAGGGGAATGTTAGGGGGGGCTGATGGGAAGTGGAGCTGGGGCCCTCAAGGGAACCCAGGTAACAGAGAAAGCACAGTGGAGTCCAGGTCCCACTCAGCCCGACTGTATTTCCTTTTTCTCTCGGATTCTGAAAGCCACCTCCACCCAAGTTCAGAGCAAACCCCCAAGAGCCAGATTCATTGCAGACATCTATCCTAACCTTCTTTTCTGTTTCTCTGTGCATGTGGACTCCTGCCTCCTCTTCCGACCTCACTTGTCCGGCACTGCTTTCTCTCCTTTTTTTCCTTGGTTTCTTTACCCACTTCTGCTCCAACCACCCCAATGTCACACAGTCTTATCAGAGCCTGTGGCCTCAGGGGGTCCTGGTGAGGGGCTGCTCCTGCAGAATAATGCCATCTCAGCTGAGATTCGGGCCTTGCTTTCCTCCTATTACAGTGATAGGTGACAGTCAGGGTTGAGCAGGCCAGGGCTTGAGCTCTGACTAGCCCCTCCCCCCCCCTGGTGCCACAGCTATTGAGCCGCTAGATGACATCGCAGCTGTGACAGACATCCTGGCCCAGCGGGAGGGCACAAGGCTGGAGACACCCCCACCCTGGCTAGCAATGTTTACAGACCAGCCTGCCTTGCCTAGTTCCTGCTCGCCTGCCTCAGTGGCCCCAGTCCCAACCTGGACGCAACCCCTGCCCTGGGGGCGACCCCGAACCTTTTCCCTGGATGCTGCCCCCCCAGACCACTCCCTTGGGGCTTCTCGCTCGGTTGCACCCCTCCCCTCGCAGCGATCCCCACAATCCAGAGGCTTCTACAGCAAAAGTCAGCTCCGCACATGGCTCCAGTCCCCAGTGTGAGAGAGGAACCAGCAACAGGATCTGGCCAAGAAAGAAAATGACCCAAGGGCAGCTGGGCCCTACGTCCAGCACTGTGGGGGCCCCCGTGCTCCTCTTCCTCCACTGGACTAGAAAGGAACGCTGGGGAGGGGTAACAGAAGTCCCTCTTAAGTTGTGGTTACAATGGTACTGAGGGGACCATTTCTGGAGTTGGTTGGGATCCCCTAAGCTCTTCCTGGGAGAAAACTGGAACAAGCCTGCCCTACCTCCCTGCACTAACCAGCCCCCTCCCCACCCCAGGGGTGGGGCAGCACTAGGGAACGGGGAGGAAAGCACCTCCCTTGTGACTCCATTAAAGTTATTTAACAGCTAGCTGCCTTCACTTGGTCTCTGAGGACCAGTGGCTTCTGTGTGCTCTGACCCTGCCTCTCCCTCCTCCCCGGAGCTTGCTGTTTAGAAGTGTGGCTGCAATAGTGAGTGCTCAGACAAGGACTTGGTGAAGGAATACTTTATAAATACCAGGGGAGAAGGGAAGTGTGTCCTCTCTCAGACACTGCTGAATCTCAGGATCTCAGCGAGGTCATAACCCGTCACCGCAAAGGAGCTGCCCGATGGGTCACAGAACCGAGCACCGCACAGCTGGGTGTCAGAAATGCATTCGCCATGGTAGTGTTCAACCTGAGGAGGGGAAAGACTGGTCAGTTCTAATGCTCACTCTATGCTTGGGTCCTCGTTCCCACCCTTCTACAAACATACCTCAATGGAGCCACTCTCTGGGTTCCTGTTCAGCTTCCAGATGTGCACAAAGGTATCCTCAGCTGCAGAGAGTAACTACAAGAGAGAAATCCATGAGGGATGTGGTGGGAGTCAGAATGCCCTGACAGGGTGGGTGTGGGCTGAAGTGCCAGTCCAGGTACCTGGGGACGGTGTCACACTGAGTATGGAGACAAGCCTGTGCTATGCGTCTAAGCACCAGGATAAGAGCTTAGGGATGCAGGAGACTGACCTTGCCCACTTCTGGAGCTAGGTCCAGGGCACAGATGGTCCGGGCATGGGCACTGATCTGGACGTGGAGTGTTCCTGTAGTGGCATCATACAGACGCACTTGCCCATTCCCATACCCTGCTGCCACAATCCCCTGCCACAGCTGCACAGAGGGGCATGGGACCCTGCAAGGGTGATGTTTGATTTTGGTTTCTCCAGACCCCAACATACTCCTTGCCCTCCCAAAGGCCACATCCCCTTTTTGCCCCTCCTACCCGAAGCCTGGGATTCGGGTCAGTAACGTGAACGTAGTTCCTGACCTCCAGACACACAGAACTCCCGAGTCATCGGCTGTCACCATGTCGGCAACACCATCCTGAGGAGAGAGCTGGGGTCACCTTTTCTCTTTACAGTCTGTGTGGTCTACAGTGCAAGGCAGGAGGGAAGTGAAGCCGTCCTGCCTCTCTGCTTCCACAGGAAGGGCAAGAGGTGGACCCTTCCTTCACCAACTCAAGACACCACACTTCTCTAGAGTCCCTTAAGCACAGGCTCCTTGTAGGTCCTTATATACATCTCACAACCACCACCTCCCTAGCCCCCATCATGGAGCAGAAGAGGATGTATAACTGTTGCTTTGGGATAGGTGACAATGCTAAAGTCACCATTCCCTGACTTGGAGGATTTGTAATGAGCCAGTCACAGTCACAACTAGTCCCTAGGTCTCCTGACCAGACCAACGCAGACAAATCAGGTTCAGTGAAGAGAACAAATTATAAAATCCACACCCTGTTTTCAAGAGGTTTGCAATCCATGAGGACAGGGCCTAGTCAGAGTGAAGCTGGAGGTAGGGGGTTGGACTAGGGTTACTGATTTCTGGAAAGGCCAGCCCTGGAACTGGGTCACTTGCTCAAGTCCAGAGAAGGAAGCTACAGCTGTCAGTGTTGGAAATGGTTGGCTCCAACTTCTGGATTCTCAACAGCACTGGAGAGTATTAGTGATTTTTATAAACACTTAATGTAAAGTATGTTTTTCTCCAGCCCTGAGGTTGCTACATCTAAGAGAGTACAGATGATCCCAAAGTCACACTTCAATGTGAAGAGGTAGAGGAAGTGTCCTCACCTGTCCCTGGGCACGCTCAGTGGCAATGTCTGTGATTGGTGTCTGGTGTCCAGCCAGCTCCTCACTAAGTACAATGTTGGGACCCTTAGCAGGGATGTCAAACACCAGTATCCGACCGGACCATGTTCCTGCAGCCAGAACCAGTGTCCCACTGATGGTTTCCTGACCCCTCTGGGTCTCCAGTCACCACAGTTAACACTTTTTCTACCCCGTAAGTCTTAGTAATAAACTCCCACAGCCCTGACTTTCCATTCACGCCCCCCTAAATGTTAGGAGTCTCTGATATCTTCCCCACCCCACCTTCTCCCTAACCCTTCACAAGTTTGTCAGCCCCTCACCATCCTCCTGGCTGAAAACCCGTAACGATGTACCTCATAGACCTTAATGCCCTGTTCTTAGTCCTCTCACCCACACAGATGAAGTGAACACTGGCAGCAATTCCTCGGGCAAACATAGCCTGTGCTGAGTATAAACACAGCTCTCAGAAACAGCACTTCCTCCAGCCCCAGCAAATTCTCCCAGCATCCACCCCTGCTCCCCTTGGTCCTCCAGGTACCTGAGGAAGAATCTCCTGAATCCAAGGCATGCCAATAGACCATGAGGGAGCCATCAGACTCATACATCTGGAAGACAGGGGCAAGGATGAGAGCGGGAACCAGCTGACCCTTCTGAGCTCTGGGCCCAGCACTTCACACAGTCATGCTGGCCCGAGGCCATGTAATCTTCAGACTTGTTCTGGCAGGCAGGCACTATTCTTATCCCTAGTTTTCAGGGGAGGACACTGAGGCTCCGTGTACGGAAGGTCACAGAGGTGGCTGAAGTGGCACTTGAAGAGTGAAGGAAATGGAAAGCACTCGGATGAAAAGCAGAGAAAGGGTGGGCTGCACACGGGACGTTTGGAAGTGTTTATTTAGAGGGAGCCGGGAAGGGCGGGGGCAGAAGAGAGGGGAGGAGAGGTCTCTCCTCACCTGTATCCTTTGATGTGAGGTGAGAACCAGCAGTACTCTGAAGGGGAAGACACACCAGTGGACCTGGAGAGACAAGCATCACAGTGGAGGGCATAAAGCTTCAGTGGGGATTCAAAGGGCTGTTTAAGCAACTCCTCTTTAACTCCTAGCCTCACCTGGGTGATAAGTGGGGGACTCACTCCAACGCCTACTTTGACTTGGAGCTGGCGCTGGGCCAAGGGCACACCCTCAGGGGCAGAGCTGAGAATCTGGGCGCTCGGTCCATGAACCACTCCAAAATGCCTGAGATCGCGGTCTGGAAGCTGCAGTACACTGAGGTTGTTAGACAAGGCGGCGGCAGAGCCCCGAAGTAGGATGGAGCGCTCGCGGCGGTACATCCTGGGAGAGAGATACCAGAGTCACAGGAGAGAAACAGAAGGCCGCAGAGAGCGTTGGGACAGGGGAGAAGGGTAATGAGATGCGATCGTGAGACACTAAAAGAGCCCCTTGATCGACGGGTTCAACCAGGAAAGTGATGGGGAATAGTCACAAGGAGGAGGGGATCCCACGTAGCAGGAGAGAGCCCCAGAGTTGAGTATTGCGGCCGCCAGGGAATCCCACAGAAGAATGGTGATGGAAAGACCTGGTGGTACCGAACGCATCAGCTTTAAAAAGGCAGAATGAGTCCTTTAGTCCTTCCTCCCACAATTTGACTACCTGAAGGTCTACACCAAGGCCAGAGATCACACCTGCAGCCCCTCCACCCCCACTCCCAGGTCTGTCTTGCCTGACGCTACGATCCTCAAGGTCCCTCCAAATCCGCCGCCACCATAGAGACGACGCACTGACGCACGGCCTCTGGGCGGGGCCTGTGGCTGGACGGGCGGCGCGCGGCGCAGTTGCCAAGGCAACCGTGGACCCCGCCTGAGACCCTCGGGGCTGCCTGGTTGCCGAGGCGACCGTTGGGCTTCCCAATCGCCGCGGCTGCAGCAATGGAGAGTCCTGGAGGCAGCTGAAACACCGCGTTGGAGCAACTGTCCCGACAATGTCACACGAAGGCTCGGTGAGCTTCAGCTGAACCTGGGGAGTGCGCAAAAACTGGGGTTGGCCGGTGTATAGAGTAGTGGACTAGCTCTGGGTTCAAGATGGGCATGGTTTACCTCAGTTTCCGTGATAAAGGGTCAATGGCTGGACCAGGTCAAGAGCAAGTGAATTCAGAAACAACTGACCTGCTAGTGCAAGTAGTAACTCATTTATGCTGAGGAACCTGTTTTGGTGGGTAAACCAGAATCAGGCACTAGGACTTGATGGGTGAAAATCTATCTTGACAGTTTCAGAATCATGAAATGGATTTAACAATTCAGAAGCTGACCTTAAAGTTAATTTATTGTATTATTATTATTGTTGGTTTTTTGAGACAGTGTGATTATGTAGACCAGGCTGGCCTTCAACCCGGAGATCCGCCTGCCTCTGCCTCAAGAGTGCTGGGATTAAAAGCATGTGTTACCATGGCTGGCCTAGACCTCACTATGTAGCTCAGGTTACCCTTGAATTCATAGCTTCTCCCCATACCAACACCCTCCTATCCCACTGTCAGAAGCCAAATTGTTAGTTAGGAAAAAAATTATTTTATGTGTATGGGTGTTTGGTCTGTATGCGCGTTTCCGCTCCATGTGTGTGCTGGATGTCTGCAGAGACCAGAAGAGGGAATCAGATTTCCCCGAACTGGAGGTACAGTTTTGAACCATTATATGGGTGCTGGAAACCAAAACCAGGTCCTCTGGAAGAGCAGCCAATGCTCTTAGCTGCTGAACTGTCTCTCCTACTCCAAAAGTCAAGACATTAAAAAAAAATGAATAAAACAGATCAGAAGAACCTTAGGAAAACGAAAGAAAAAAAAAGCCCTTCTGTCAGTTGCACTTCCCATCTTTGTTGGATGCAAGGCTTGGAGGAGACACCTAAGGCATCAATTCTTTGGGGTTTAAAGATTTAGGCTGAACACAAGCACAGCTTTAATTCTAGCACTAGGCAGAGGTCTCTGGGAATTTAAGGCCAAGGATTGAAAGAGTAGGGAACAGGAGACCCCAGATTGCCTGGGAGGATGAATATTAGAAAATACAAAACATGACGCAACAAGGTTGGAGGTAAGTGGGTAGATACAGGTTTATATTTGGAGGTAAGTTTTGGAAGGAACCATCTTCCTTCATTGTTTCACTTTGTATCCCAGTCCAGCCTGGAGGGCATGGGCAGCCATCCTGTTTTAGACTCTGGAATGCTGGGTGTAGTGGTATAAGCCACCACAACTGGCTCTGGTCATCTTTACAAATTTTTATTGCTCATCTACATCTCTTTTGTGAAATAGCATATACCTGGTTTACCTTTGGGCTTACCTTAGTTACTTTTCTATTGCTGCCAAAAAAACACCATGACCCAAGCAACTTATAAACTCGCTCTGTAGACCAAGTTGGCCTCAAACTCAGAGATTCGCCTGCCTCTGCTTCCCAAGTGCTGGGACTAAAGGTGTGCGCCACCAATGCCCAGCAAGGCTACATCTCTTAATCCTTCCCAAACAATTTCATAACTAGGGATCAAGCATCAAGCATTCTTTTATATGATCTTATGGGGGCTGTTCTTATTCACAGGGGTTTTTAATTTTTTTTTTGTTTGTTTTTTTGGGACAAGGTTTCTCTGTAGTGCTGGAGCCTATCCTGGATCCGCTTGCCTCTGCCTCCTGAGTGCTGGGATTAAAGGAGTGTGCACCACCGATTGGCCTTTAATTTTAAAAATTTTGTTATGTGTGTGTGTGTGTGTGTGTGTGTGTGTGTGTGTGTGTGTAGGGGTGTATGCCACAGTGCATGGATGGAGGGTGGAGGATGACTTGTAAGAGTTGATACTCTTTCTGCCTGTAGTCCTGGGAATCAAACTTTGGTCATTAGACTTGGCAGCAAACACCTTTACCTAAATGAGTCATCTTACCAACCCTCATTTTATTTCTCTTTGTTTTAAAAGGTTTTAATATATATGAACATGTTTTTCTTTTCCATATTTTTATGAATATCTTTATTTGGGAAGCAAGAGTCAGGTTTTGTAATTAGACAAATCTGAATATGAATTCTAACTATACTACTTCCCATAAAAATAATAGTTAAAGATGGTCTAGAGCCAGGCATTGATGGTGCAAGCCTTTAATCCCAGCACTTGGAAGGCAAAGGCAGGCGGATCTCTGTGAGTTTGAGGCCATCGTGGTCTACAATGCTACACAGTGAAACCCTGTCTTGAATAACAAAACAAAACCAAACAAAAAACAAAACAAAAACAAAAACAAAATGACCTGTAATCCTACCTACTCTATTTGGGAGGCAAAAGGACCATGAATCAGAGCGGATAGATGTCATCAGGCAAACTGTCTTTCAAGCTCAATAGGACTGACACACATATAAACTCACAAAGATTGTGGTAGCATGAGCAGGGCCTGCACAAGTTTGAGCCAGATAGGGTCCCAGTGCTTTGAGGTGGAAGCGAACACAAGATTCCATCCCTACCCAAGAAGCTATTTCCATTTGGTAACCACTTACAAAGGAAAAATCAGTTTTACCCAATGGAGTCTCACTGGGTATATAAACAACACTTAAGGGTAGTGCCCATGCCCAGAAGTAGATGACCAACAAAAACTATCTCAATGGTGCTTTTGTAGATTGTCTCATTTGGATTTAAAAAAATCTTTCTGGTATTTTGCTTATATATATTATGGTTTCTGGTTTTTGTGTTTTTATTGTTTTCGTTTTGTTGTGTGTTTGTGCCTTTTAACTGTTTTATTTTATTATATTCTGATTTGTTTGCCTTTTTAATTTGCCTGTTTTCTAAAGAGAAAGAAGGCCTGGAAGTAGGGAAATTGATCAGAATATATTGTATCAATGTTCAATTCAGAAAAAGAGGACCACAAGTTAATTTCAAGGCCTGCTTGTACTACAGAGTTCAAGACCTGCCTGGGCATCTTAGTGAGATCTCAGAGAGAGAGAGAGAGAGAGAGAGAGAGAGAGAGAGAGAGAGAGAGAGAGAGAGAGAGAGAGAGAGAGAGAGAAAGAACACATGGGGTTGGTGGATAGGAGCACACACCTTTAATCCCAGTACTGCGAGGCAGAGGCAGGTGGATTTCTGAGTTTGAGACCAGCCTGGTCCACAAGGAGAGAGTTCCAGGACAGATAGGGTTACATAAAGAGACTGTTTCAAGACAAAAAGTACAAAGAGACCTAGGGATTTAGCCTAGTGATGGAGAGCATGTACAATGCCCTGGGTTCAATCCCCAGAACTACAACATATATACACAAAAAGGCAACAAACAAACCAAACCCAGAAACCCGAGCATGTTTCCATAATTCTAGGATTTGAGAGGCAGAGGCAGGAGAATTGCTGAAAATATGAAGTGTGCCTAGTCTATGTAGGAAGTTCCAGGTCAGCTACATAGCAAGACTGTTCAAACAACCAAACAAAAAACAAAAGCAGAGGAGACTAAGTACCTCGTTGACCGCCAGATTCAAATTCTTTGAACTCTCAAGAACTTGAACACTGCAGTAAGGCAAATAGCAAGAGCTGCAAATTGAGTAGGATTAGGTCTGCGGTTCAGTTGCATCCAAACAGGCAAGGGCAAACTTCGGCCAAGTATCGGTTTCCTTGCTTAGTGGGCTGTTGAGTATTAAATTGAGTCGAATACCTTCAAAGTGTCCCTCCGCCGCATCGCAGACTGTAGGTACCTTGCCCTGGTCCGCTTTCTTAGTAAACATCTTGAGAAAGCATCTTTCTAACCCATCAGTCCATCCCCTCGGTTTCCTGTCCTGAGTGCCCGTTTCATTCCCACAGAGGCAGGCTCGAGACCGTGGGGTGACCCGCTCCAAGGCTGAAAAGGCCCGGCCGCCCACCCAGCCGGTGCCGCAGGTGGACATCGTGCCTGGGCGGCTCAATGAGGCAGAATGGATTGCGTTTATGTCCCTGGAGGAGGGCGAGGACGTGGTAGGTGACATCTTGGCGGACCTTCTGACTCGAGTCATGGAGTGTGCCTTCAAAGTCTACCTGAACCAGCAGGTGGGCCTAGATCTGGGACTTCCAGACCCATCTTCTACCTCTCCTGCCTCTTCTAGCGAGGCTGAGACCCTCCCTCGCTTCCACAGCGCGTCCCATTCACCATTAGCCAGGCCCGAGAGGCCATGCTGCAGATCATTGAGTGGCGTTTCCTGGCCAGGGATGAGGGAGAATCTGCAGTGGCCGAGGACCCCACGTGGGGCGAGGACGAGGAGCCCCTGGCATGCACCACGGATGCCTGGGCCCAGGGCTCCGTGCCTGTACTTCACGCACCGGCACCCGTTGGTGTAGAGGAGCACTTCCAAGGCGAAGTAAGCCCAAGCCCCCAGCCTCCTTCCGTTCTACAGAAGCCTCCTCCGGAGCCGCTCAGGACTATGAAGTGAGGTTCTTCCCCTCCCTTTCCGACATCTCATTACCCTTGTGTGTTTCCCCAGGAACCTGGGAACCCGGACCAGTTCATTTTAGGTTCATCATGGTTGGACAGAGACTCCCAGGAGCCAACAGCATCTCCAGAGCCTTCGGCCGAGACAAGAGTCACCTCAGGACTCACGCCCACCTTGGAAGCGTTTCAGGAAGCTGAGCCCGGGGAAACCTTGGACGAACTCGATGGCCGGGAAGAAAGCCACATCTTGGCCACGTCTTTAAAGGAACCTAGCAACATCTTGACCGTGGCGTCGAAGGAGTCTTTACGACCTTCGCTGGAAGCGGTGCGCGCCCACAGTCCCCAACCTTCCCTGAATCTGCCCCAAGTAGTCAGCCTCCAGGCCTCTGAGGAGAAGGTATCACCATCCCTCATCTCTCATCTGTCCCTCGAGGATCTTTACAGATGCGTGTCTCAGCCAGACGCGGCAGGGGACCGGCTGAAACGCGAAAGCAAGGGCACATCCCGCGCCTCCTCGGACGGGTCTGTGCCCCTCCTCAATGCGGTCACCCTAGAAAACCTCTCCTCGTCGCCGCAGCCTGAAGGCTTGGATACGCCGCGTAGCCGCAAGACGCCCATGATGCGCCTGGATCCCGCGCGGTTGCCCCGTCACTGGGTGCGCCCAGTGGCTGAGGTCCTGACCCCAGAGATCGAAGCGCGCCCTTTGGAAATATACCGCGGGCGACCGCGGGGTGAAAAGAGCCAACCTGTGGCCCGAACCCCAACAAGCCTGTCCCAAGCCCTCGACTCGCGCGCACACCCCAAACTCATCTCTACCTCAAGGTTACCTCTCCAATACTATGCTCCATTCCGTGCTTTGGACCCGGATCCCATTTTAAACTTGGCCCAATCCTCACCAACCTTCGCATCTAAATTGCCATTCCTCAGCTCCGGGTTCCGCTTCCTCGCCGGAAACCCAGTCCCTCCCGAAGTCTCCCGCAGCCCCAGTCCCAAATTATGGCCTCGAGCTAAGTGGCCCAGTGGCTGGGAGAGGGAGGCTGAGCAGCTAGGCGAGCTGTGGGCGGGTCGTACTCGCGTGCCTCCACAGGGCCAGGAACCTGTGGCTGATGACGCCTCGGAGGACTCTGGATGGCCCCTAGCGGCGCCTCAGGTCCTCGAGGCCACGTCCCAGGTTCTGTGGAAGCCCATGATTCTTTCAGAAACCATGAAGCTGGTTCCTGGCGTGAGTATGTGGAACCGGGGCACCCAGGAGCTGCTCAACCCTGCTGCCACCCAGGAGGAGGCTGAAGGAGGCACCTCCCATGCGGCTGAGCAGCAACCCATCCCGACTGGTGTGTCCAAGCCCCAAGTGATTATGACACAGCTAATAAGGAAGGAAACTCCCAAAGCCTGGCAGCTCCCAGCCAAGCCTGTGCCCCACTCTGGGTCCTGAGCCTCCACACTGGGAATTGAACCCTGCCCAAAATAAACATGCTTTTGCCGCAGGAACTGACTAGCGAGATGGTGTTATTTCTTCCAAGGCTGTCTAGCCTCTAACTGGACTCCAGGGGGCACAGTTGTTATTATTAGTCGTATGAGACACATCCCTGCCCCCTCAAATACACCTTAAAGGAGAAGATCTGAGGACTATAAGGGGCGGGGATGTGAGTGGCGGGGCGGGGTGTCTGGCTCCCAGGGAGAACTTTGTCCTTTCAATAGGGGGGGAAGGGCACAGCTGAGAGTATAAGCATAGAGTGATGATTCCACACATGAATTCGACCTGCTTTCCTGACTCCTGGAGTTTAGTCAGTTCATCTTGGATTGAAAAATCCATTTTCTGTTGCTTTTGCTCCTGTGTTTTGGGACTTGAACCTAGAATTTTGCACATGCCAGAAAAACATTGTATCATACAGACTTACAGGTAAAACATACATATCCAATAAATATTAAACAATTACAACATACACATAAATCTGCTGTTGCACAAAAGATTAGAAACAGGGCCTGGAAGATGCAGGCAGTAAAGCACTTCCTATGCACAGCAAAGCCAAGCATCTTGGCCCAGAATACAAGTCCTATAATGCTATATTAGTGCCTAAAATCCCTGCACTGGGCAAGTAGATGGGAGGATTCCCTAAGGCTTACTGGCCAGTCAGTTCAGTTAGAATTGATGAGTTCCAGGTTCAGTGAGAGCCCTTGTGTAAAAAAAATTAGGTAGAGAGTGATTAAGGAGGACACTTAGGTCAACCTCTGACCTCCAGATGCTCATACACACATGCACACACACAAGCATACACACACGACTAGAAACAAACTAACTAGAGGAATCCAGTTAATAAGTTATGCATATCCACAAATGAGGACCTCCCTCTGTTTTTCAAGACAGGGTCTCTTGCCGGGCGGTGGTGGCGGCACACACGCCTTTAATCCTTGCACTCGGGACAGGACGCAGAGGCAGGTGGATCTCTGTAAGTTCGAGGCTGGGCTGGACCGACAGCCTCCAAACAATACAGAGAAACCCTGTCTAGTAAAAACAAAACAAAACAAAACAAAACAAAAAAAAAGGGTCTCTTGTAGCCTAGTCTAGCTATCAGGCCATGGATGACCTTGAATTCCTGATCCCTCAACCTCCCAAATACTGGGATTACAGACAGCAGTTTGTATGACTAGGAAAGATGTCCCTCACCCCAACCCCCTTCCCAGTACCTACATGGCAGTTCATCTCACAAACTTCTCTAACTGCAGCTCCAGGGAATCACTCTTTTCTGGCCTCCCCATGTGCATGTGCCCAGTGAACAGACATACCATACATACAGGCAAAACACTCATACACATAAAATGAGTAAATCTTATAGAAAAGACTCCAGGTTTTATTAAGGAAAAAAGGCAGAGTGTCATTGTATACACTAGACTAGCCTTTGCATAAGAAATGGAAGGAGTAAAACTCTGTTCATATGTGATTGTATTTAAATAAAACATCTAGAAGATGACCAAGAAACCAAGTTCCTGTAGCAGGCAAGGAGGGTGGGCTGGAATGGAACAAAGGTTAAAGGGAGGCTTCTCAGTGCATACTTTTATACTTTGGGGGGGTGGGGAGACAGGGTTTCTTTTTTTTTTTCCAATACAGGGTTTCTCTATGTAGCCCTGGCTTTCCTGAAACTCGCTATATAGAGCAGGCTGCCCCAAATTCAGAGATTCAACTGCCTCTGCCTCCTGAGGGTTTTTTTTTTTTTTTGGTTTTTCGAGGCAGGGTTTCTCTGTGGCTTTGGAGGCTGTCCTGGAACTAGCTATTGTAGACCAGGCTGGTCTCGAACTCACAGAGATCCGCCTGCCTCTGCCTCCCGAGTGCTGAGATTAAAGGCGTGAGCCACCAACGTCCGGCTGAGGTTTGTTTTTGTTTTTTGTTTTTTTTAACTGAGATAGGGCCTTACTTTGTAACCCTGGCTGACCTGGAATTTGCTAAAACAACAGATTGGTCTTGAATTCATAGACAACTACCTGTCCCTTCCTTCAGAGTGCTGGGATTAAAGGCATATGTCACTGTACCTGGCTTAGTGAATACTTTAAAGTATTAGTTTGATTATTGTATTTTATTTAGTAGTGTGTGTGTGTGTGTGTGTGTGTGTGTGTGTGTGTGTGTATGTGGTCAGTTCTCTCTTTTCATGTGGGTTCCAGGAATCAAACACCTTGTCAGGCTTCTGTGGCAAGTTCCTTTACCAGCAGAGTCATTTCACAGGTTCTAGCTTGGTCTTTGAATGGTGAGAATGCAGTGCATATTCAGAGTAACTGGAAATATTTAGAAGATGAAATGGGAGTGAAAAGGAACTCTAGTAGAGGTATTCATCCTTTCTAGATCCGTCACTGATAATCTCATTTTACAAGTAAGGAAACGACACTGAAAGGTTAAGTATCCAGCCCAGGATTTCACCCAGCTAGTAAACTGAAGGTAGAACTGGAACCTGTCTAAGAAATCCTAACTCACTTTCTCCTGCACATTTATTTGCGCAATCCTTCCTTCATGCCTGCCTGTGGATATCATTGCACATTTGTTTAATCCTCCCTCCTTGGCACCCCAGGCTGCTCTAGAACTTGGGGCGATCCTCCTGCCTCACCCTTTCTAGCATTAGGTTATCGCTAGTTTTAAAAAGCCAATTAACACTCAAAAGCTAGCAAAGAGACATTGAAGAAAAAAAGTCTTCGAGACGTTGAAACTTTCTACAACACCTCCATTGAAGAGATGCCTCTCAATGATGCTGACCTCTTGGCCATAGGCAGTTCAGTTCTGGGGAACTAAAGAACAGCTGAATAGGGACTCGAAAAGGTGTGGACATCTGAGTTTATCTCTCTCTTCCCCAACTCCGACTTCATACACATCTCTTTCAGAGACCAAACCAAACAAAAAACTCCCAAGACGTCCCCCGAGTCCTCCGCCAGTAGAGGGCGCTCACCCCACTGCGCCTCTTCACTGCGGTCCTAAGCAACCTCCCAGGAGTAGTGCGCGTGCGCTTGCGTGTACCCTGCCGCAGGTGTCTAGCTCAGTGCCTTATCGATGTCTTCTTTGCCTCCCTCGGTGTGACCTTGTCAGTCATGGCAGGACTGCAGGAATGAGGAGACTGTACCCAGAACTCTAGAGTTTTCTGGGACCCGAGGGCTCCGTGGGTCGCTGCGGGGTCGGGCTGCGCGCGGGGCAGCCCCGGGGCGGGGCGGGGCGGGGCCGTAAGTCCCGGGCGGCGGCGGGGCAGAGCCGGGCGCGGAGCCCTGACAGCAGGTATGAGGTGGCGACCCCGCCAACTGTCTGCTGAGCTGCCCCGGAGCTCGCGCGGAGCTGCCAGGGGCCCGGAGCTCGGGCCGGGTGGGACCGGAGGGTGGGTGGCACCCCGACGGACGGGCGCGGGCCTGGAGCCCCGGTGAGCGCGTCTCCCAGGCTTGCCCACTAGCCTCCAGCTCTGCAAGGGGTCCCTGCTTGCCCTGACCCGTACCGGACCCAGGTTTCCGGTGGGCACGTGGTTGGGAATTTGTGTTACACCAGACCAAAATAATAATAATAATAATAATAATAATAATAATAATAATAATAATAATCCTAGAGGGTTCAAACATGGGGGTCTGGAAATGTGTTTGTTGTGTGACTACTCCCTGCCCCTGAGGTCCGACTAGGATGGCAAGATGACCCTTGTGAAGTAGTCTTGTTCATACACCCCGCCTTCACTGTGGGCTGGGCAGGGAGTAAAACTGCTATTTTGAAGAAGGCACATCTTCAGAACCAAACTCGTTTATAGCAGCGCGGAGAGCAGCAAGCGCCTGTTGGCCGCTTGGTACCCTAGTGTACGTAAGAGTCTAGAGATGGCATTCTTAGCCTACTGTGTTGCCAAAGCCTGAACTGCACTGTATTTAAAGAGATAAGGATAACCTTTAAAAAAAAGTGTATGAGTATAGGTCCCCACAGAATCAGAGGTGTCCGACCTCGGCATCTGAAGTTACAGCCAGTTGTAGGTCCTGGTAAACTAAACTCAGGTTCTCTGTAAGAGCAATAGGTTCTCTTAACTGCTGAAGCATCTCTTCAGCCCCCATAACATTTATTTTGTGAAGGCACTTTGTATTCATATTATGCTTGAAAATGTATGATTCAAGTTTTCTCATCTACAGACTCAGAGCGTTTGTTATACTCATGGTATTTATCAGGAGTCTCCAACTAGGGTATCTGTGGAGAAATTCCTGAAACAGACTGGGAGATACTGGGGTTTGTTTCTTTTGCTTGTTTTCGGTTTTGGTGGTGCCTCTGCTTAACATCTGGTGCAGTTTGGGAAATGAAGTTCCAGAAATAGAAACCCACCATTGTAAAGGGGCAGTGTGTGCCAATTTTTTTTTTTTACTTTAATAGGTATGTGTTTAGTTTAATAGGGTCTGGTGAAAATTTGTAACAGGTTCTCAGGTGATGCTAGTGCCTGCTGGCCTGGGACCAGATTCTTAGCAGCAGATCACTGAATTGACCAGCACATTTTGCTGCCTGCTATGTAGAACAATCAATCTGCTGCCATGGGTCACTCACTTTGTCCAGACTTTAAAACAGGAGTCAGGACTAGGTGACCTTTCAGCCTCCTCTCATCTCAATGCTGGGGTTCTAACCCAGTTACCTTTGTGGCAGCTGACTTCCACATATGATGCCCTTGTCAGTTTGGCAGGTTTTGCAGTTTGGTTAAAATATTTCTAACAGTAGGGAAATAACTAAATATTTGGTTTGAACATTTCTAACAATGGGATAATACTAGATATTTGGTTTGAGTTTTTTTTAATGTGAATTTATTTAACTTTATTTTATGTGCATTGATGTGAGGTGTCAGATCCCCTGGAACTGGAATTGCAGACAGTTGTGAGCTGCCATGTGGGTGCTGGAAATTGAATCTGGGTCCTCTGGAAGAGCAGCCAGTGCTCTCAACCACTGAGCCATTTCTCCAGCCCCCTGGTTTGAACATTCCTAACAATGGGGAAATAACTAGATATAAAGTGTC